ACAGGCATACTTTTCAAGAAACCACCTGACCAAGAAGGAGAACTGCAACCACCACTCAATATTTAGAGCTCCTGCCCAAAAGGTTAACTACTCTTTATTTAACACTGGAAGGAAATTGCATGGCAGCTAAGACGTAGCCAAGGAAGTACCACATCACAGGAAGCCTTCTTCAAAATGTCAAATTTTGTGTTGTCTATGCGCTTGCTACATCCCAGAATGCATTTCGAGCACTCTCTGCCTGACTCACTGTCAGAGCACCAGCTAAGGAACTGGCTCCTTATTTCAAATGGTAAGAGGCTCACACAGTTCAACAGCTTCAGGAAGTTTACAACCTCAGAATCAAACTTCAGAAGAAAAAACTTCCAACTTCAAGCCAAAAAAAATTGAGAACAAAACTTCAGAACAACTTCACAAAAAGTGTAGGCTGATCAGTGTTCATGGCTGCTTCATTTCTTGAATGGGTAGGTGGAGGTTTAGGTTTGCAGCAAACCGAAAACCGTTCATCTACTGATATCAGAACTTTTTATATGACAAACACCAGTGCTGAATGCTTCTGGAAACACACTGCTTGCTACAGGTGAAGACTTTCCTCAAGACTGAAAGTCTCACAGCTGCAAGAAATGCTCCCTTTTCTTACAAGATTTCATCTCCCCACAAAATGAGTATAGAAAAACTGATTTGGGTCTTCCACAGTCTCCCAGGTGAAAGGCACTTAACAAGGAAGACTCTCCAGGTTGTGAATAACATTAACAATCAAACAGCTTGATGCTGCAAAGAGATACAGGCTGTCAATAAGTTAACAGGTTTTCATGATAGGTGAGCTAGTATAAAGAAAAATACATTATTAGTGAATTCTGCCTGCTGCCTCTTGCTCTGTTGATAGGACACCACAAGCTCAAAGCACCATAAGACACCACCACATTCCAGCAATCCTGGTGTAAGGCATACTTACTTTTATTTCAATCTACATCAGCGCCTCTGTTACCTGAAGATGAGCGCTTCCAGAAATAACAATCAGGAGAAATTTCTAATGGGGTCTTTCTGCAAGTTTCTAAACCACCCTACTGCTCAAGGTATAGATGACTAAAGATTTTGCAAGGATCCAAGTTCCCATCATCAACAGTAACTTCAAGAAGCTCCTTAACCTCAGACAAGAGCAGAAAAGGAAGTGCAAAGTTCATGGCAGCAGTTCCCCTGCTCTCAAACAGTGCTGCTACATACCAACATGGCAACACAGCTGGTCTGTCTCCTAGACAGATTAACTTCATAGTGAGTTGTCTTTTGGTCTTACATGGTCTGACAAAGTATTTCAGGTCTGATGCTGACATCTAATTACAGGGATTTTTTTTAAAAGGATCATACCTCACCCCCATGCTTTGCCCAAAATTCTGCCAACCCTCATCCAATGTATCTATGACTTGTCAGAAAAACTCCTTTTTAATTGCCCATATGAAGCACTGATGATCAAGATTTCTCAAAGGACCTGGCTAAGGAGAAGTTGACAAAAGTGGTTTCTGTGTATTTCTGTGTTTTCTGGATTTTTGCTCTGAAGATGCTTAATGACTTTGCAATACATTATCAAGAAAGCAGGTAGGATGCTTGTAAATTTGGTAGCAGGAGATGTGAAGAATCAGGAGCAAAATGTCTAATTTAGCTGGGAAAAGGCTGAAAAGTTTTCTATATGCACTGGGGTACTTTGGAATTAAAGGAACTCAGAAGAGTACAGAGACTCCTATCTCTGTCCAAACAGGCTATTTAAATATCTCTTTCCCTCACAGCACTACCTGTTCAATGAGGAAAGCGGAAACAAGGAGGTTATGGACTGGGAAGCAGGAAAAAACCAAAATGGAGAGTAGGTCTGTTTTTTCAAGCTCTAGGATAAAGATAATGTTCTTTGGGACTTTTACTGAAAAACTTTTAGGTCTTTAAGAATCAAGAAGGCTTTCCAAAGAAGAAACTCAATTAAGCTTGCTACTTTTTATTCATTACTTAAGAGGACACTTCTTCTCTCATTCGCTTTTTTTTCCTCTTAAACACACAAGTAATTCCTACGTTGGAGTTTGGATGTGTACAATGGAAGTCATCTGTAAATATTCTCTATCTTGTGTATCTAGCCCAAGCATAATGCTAAGGAATAGGTTATTCCATCTTTAAATAACCGGCATTCTCCTCCACATGAGATCTAATTTTTCTTTACAACGTAACATTTTTATTGCCACAGTAAGTTAGCATTAGTTTTCTAACTTAGAATAACTGTTTTGAGATTTGATGGCCTGCACTGGGGTTGGTTGGTTGCTTTTTCTCTCCAAGTGACACTTACCTAACTTTGTAAAGCGTGATGGCCAAAGCTTTATCTTCACACATTTTTGTTTTGAAAGAACACAAAGACGACCATTACCTTGTTTGGGTATCCCAGGTATGTCTTCAAATGTAAGCGTCCTCAGGGAAGGTCTCCAGAATGCGTAAGATTCTACCAGAGCTTCCAGTCCCATTCTGTTTAAAACAAAAACATCACAGTGTCATGAAACCAAGCTGTATTTTGTCACATGTCTCTGGATACTATACCTCAGAAACATAAAAATTAGTAACATTTCAGGATTATTTTGAAGTTCATTTTGCTTTTTTGAAAAGAGCCTTACATCCTTATCCATGAGATCACTGTGATCTGCAGCCACTGGGCTGGCAGCATGCAAAGAGTTTCACAATTCCACAAGTCTGGCTCTATATTTCAATAGTTTTGGCCTTTGGGGGAAGGTTGGGGGGGGGAGGGGCGAGACACACACTTGGCTAAAATGACATTAAATGTTTTCCTAGTATGATATTTCCTTAAGAGCAACTGCTCTAACTGCCAGAAGGATGATCTCCTGTTTCAGCCTGGAAAGGTAACCCACTGACAACTTCTATTAAAACAGAATTCCCAGTCATTCCTGATGAACTGGAAAATCACACAACTTGAGGAAGGCATGGGAGTACAGCTCTTTTGCTACTAAAATGTATAAAGCAATGTTGTGTCTTGGTTATATGCTGAGCAAAATGCCTTTAGAAACTAAAAGTCTGTCATTTTCTTTCAACAGTGTCGTGACAAAATAGAAATAATGAGGTAGACAATCATGGCAGAAAGTATTTAGAAGAATCTCTATTTCTTGAAGGTGAAGGCTCATTTGTTTTCTAACATAATTTTATGAATAATGCACTTCAGAAGTATAATTTTGCTGTTACTTTTGGCTGCTGAGCCCCAAAGTCCTGTTAAATGTGAGCATCAGGCATACACCAAGTACAAGTGCTTGCCTTTGAGCAGCAGTGTTCTGTAAACTCGAATTATGCAAATAGCCCAATCTGAAGCTACTAACATGTTCTTCTGATACTGCTTCTTCCCCATTACATTTCCAGCAGGATCACAAATGTATGTCAGGAAACATTTATAAAGTATTTATTAGCTGAACCTGGACTAAAAAGATAGCTTTCATTTTCTGCAGTAATAGTGAATTTTCATTTCTAGTTAAAGTAGAGATAAAAGCCACCTCCTGGAGGAGTGTAGCCAAGGCGATAATTTATACAAGATGCCTTCGAACAATTTCCACATTTTATCACCACCCTAATTTACGCTATCAAATGGCCAAGTTTATTTAACAAAACAGTTATGTTTTTCCTCAAGTATTTAAAGGGAGAAATTCTGGTCCTTTCCTGAGTAAAAGTTTTTATAGGGTCAAACTTAAGGCCTAACTGAAGAATGAAACTATTCTCAGCACATAAATTCTGCTGCACTTTGCAAATGCACAGGGAATGCTTTTAAAAGGTGAAGCTACTGATTTCTGTAAAATAGCCTGTGGGACTGAACGGGAATGACCTGAAAGGGAGTATTTTTAATTAATCAGAATTACAGCATGCAGCAGTGCAGACTAAGATACCTGCAATAATTAAAGCAATAACGAAAAGTTAGATATAATGGTACCACAGTTTTTTGTTTTTTTTACACTTTTCTTGCAGACTAAAATGCCTTGGTGATAAATACACCATCTAGAACAATGAAGATAACAGAATCTTAACATTTAATTTTAATATTTAGCATCAGAGCAAATTAATAATCAACTGAGTAAACACGGAATTTAAATTAAAAAATAAATTTTCCTCAACAACTAAAAATCTGAGCTGCATTCCCAAACACACTTACTCAATACCACCGAGCCTATCAAAGAAAACAGCAATACTGACTTCAGTAAAGCAATTTGCATGAACAACAGTTTGCAGAGTCACTTCTGTAATGACTGCGTTTGTTACAGTAGAAGCATTCAGACCTCATCTAAAGTCAGTTCTGAAACATTTCCCAGAGGCTGACCCTTCCTACAGGATTGCCTCCTAACCATTTCTATAAATTATAATTGCCTTTCAATTAAAATATCCCTCCTTTTTTCTAACGCCTGAACCAAACTTACTCCTAGTAGCCAAACCAAAAACTTCTCTGCATATCCCCAGTCCTACAACTGGATTTGTGTGGTTGCAGATACATTAATCTCACTGTACCTACATGGTCCTCGGGTAATACCAGGGCTGTCTCACCATGTGAAATCCAGTTCAAAAGCGGTTTCTGAACAATTCTTGCTTCTCCATTTTCAAGGGCATCTTCCCTTGTTTCATACAACACAACAGAAGAAATTCTAATTCCACTTAAGCTCAGAAATTTTAGAGGAGTCAGGATTTTACACTTCTTAGGAGGCTCCTTAGTACTTATTTTATAGCATGCATAGCAGACATGGCCTATAGAGAGCTGTCAAATAGGACATGTATGGAAAGTTTTTTCTTCTCCAAGTACACACAGCATGTTTTGTTTCTTCAGTCATTGCATTTATCTGGAAGTTACTGTTCACTTAATTTCAAACTAGAAGGCTACAAACGAGTACAAAACTCTTATTTATGTCGGTGCCTTGGGCATGCCTTCCAGGCCCCAGGACAGAGCATGGTCAATTGTTTCTTGCTAGAAGACAAATATTTTAAGAGAGCAGCAAATGCAGAGTGCAAACTGAAAAGATACTTACAGTGAATTCCCGTAAATCTTTACAACTACCCCACCCCTTCTCTAACTGTTCATCTTCCAAAAATTGCTCTCATTTGCTGTCCAGTCTCAGCATTTATGCAACTCAGGTGGAAGCGCAAAACAGGCTTTAATGCTGCAGCCTCTGCTAAAAGAGAAGCTGAATAAAGCAGCTACCAAAAGATACTCTCTGAGCATTCCTACCAGCACAGTCTGCTCCCTTCTCTGAAAGGCTAGGTCGTAAATATAGCAGCTGTAGACACCAAACACCATGTGGTCACTGGAACTGATGTATAATATGCACCACAATTAAATGCTGCTTTTTTTAGCTGAAATGGTTTAACATACAATTCATAACAGGCTTAAGTATTTTGCATTAAACAGTCTTTGGATAAAATACCTCATCAGTACTGGCAGCAGGGACTAGACCTAAGTCTCCACTTTGCACTACTCAGATTCCTCATTGTTATTTTGAAATATTCAAGGATCAAGAGAGAATAAACAATTAATCAATCCAACCACAACAGAAGAAGTGGAGACCAGACCTGTTTCAAAGGCATTCACCTAGTAAGTGGATTTAAAACTCCTTAGGCTAAAGAGACACTTGAACACAGGTCTCCCACCTCCTAGACAAATGTACTAAACATAAGGTTACTGCATGAGGCAACTTAGTTTCTCCCTCCAAGAGAAAACAACAAGCCATTCATCCATACTAAATGCCATTTACACGCAAGAGAACCAGGATTTATAGTTTGACCTTGGTATCTGCAATCTGTGTCTCCAGCCAGGAGAGGAGATAGCAGGAGTAGCCTGAAATCACAGACCTGAGCATGCCTTAATTCCATGTGCAGCCTTCACAGTATGCCATCACTTCCACCAAAAGGTAACTTGAGTATATGAGTCAAGCCAAGTGGAGCCCACCATGGAAAATATTATTGGGAAACCTAGGTGGTTCCTCAAGGAGTCCGAGTCCTCAGACTGATTTGTCAGTAAATACAGGTATTCCCCTCGACCAGCCTTCACAAATGGACTTCATAATCAGTAACAAGCCCACCTCTCCCCAACACCTACCTGTTACGTCCTGAATCTCTAAACCCTTTGGCAAATGGATTCCTATCAATCTTCAGACGGGTTATCTGTAAATATGATTAGAGAAATTATCACCTGAAAATTCAGCTAAGTAACACTCAAAATGATTCATCTTGACAGAATTAAGTTGACATTTGAGTAGAAACATCTTCACGTTTGCATTGACTGTTGTCCTGAAACACAGCAAAACAAGGGCCAGCCTTCTGATCATTATTTTTGCAAATCCCCAGAGAAGCTAATAGGTATTTAATGCTACCAAATGGCAGGTTGGAATTCTTAAGAAAAAGTCTTCTGGAAAATGTCGTTCTTCACCTAAGAGAGTATGCTGCCTAACTGCAATAAAATTTAAATTAAATTTTACTTCTGGATGGGTCAAGAAGGAAATGTGAAAACAGAGATTATCTCTAGGCTATTATCCTCCATTAAAAAAAACAGCAACACTTCCCCCCCCCAAATACTTGTAATTTTTTTAAATAAATGGGATACACACTGAATAATTATATTTCAGTATTTACATGGCTCTCACGTTCTTGTCTTTGTAAAGATAGCAGGGCATATAGTTTCACAAATTATAACAACTTCTAATAACTTAGTAAATTAAGTGGAATTAATAAAATATCACTACACTAACTATGATGTCACTATGTATACTTAACTACTACCACTTAATTATCACCACTTAAACAAGTGGTAATAAGAGCCGGAATCACACAACCTGTAGTTTACTTTTGACTTTGAATCTGTGTGGACCCAGATAAACTGCAGATAATAATATATGCTCAATGCAGCTAATTAAAATGACCGCAACTTTCTTCAGACCTCAGCTGCTTTGTTAAGGTCCTGGGAGTTTTGAAATCACTGGAGTCAGGAACAAAAGTGCTTTAAAAATTCTATACAGACATGTATCTACACTTAAAGGTACAAAAAGACCTTTAAAAATTAGACTGCTCTTTGCCTTGTGCTTCAATGCTATATTTATAATTAAGACACTGCTAATCAGAGTGATCTCCATAATACAACTGACTTTCTACATGCAGCAGCTAGGCCACATGGCCTGAAGTCTCAGCTGTAGCCTCCAGGCGCTATTAGCAAAAACTACTTGTAACACGAAAAGGGTTTAGATGATGCTTTTTAATAAGTGGTATAATGAAAGTACCCGATTTTCTTCTATCTCTTACTTCCCTGTCTACTCTGAAAAGCCTGTAAAGTGCTAAGCAGAAAGCCCAAGTTACCTGTTGATTTTGGTACGCTGTGACAGTAGTGAAAACTGTCTCTGGAAAGGAGAAGGCCTTCACCCCTTCTCCTGAAGGGATAGGCTTGACTGGGGACAGATCATCTCCACAGTCTTTTCGGATGACGTGGACACGAGGCTGGTATTTGTGCATAGAGTGAAGGATAATCTATGCAGTCATGAAAGGAAAAAGATAACATTTATTAGAAAGGACACCCTGCTGTTTCAGGACTAATAGCTTTTTGGAACAGATTATGGTATGTGTTTACCATGCCATTTACTGGAAATCAAATGTTTTCTTTAACCTCTGAAGGTTCTTATTACAGTAGTCTAATCCCTGTGCATTTATGTTATTGCCAAACCTAAGCATTTAAAGATTACGACTCACAAGCTCCAAATTCAGAGACTGGCTCAATTGAGACCAGAAAAAAAAAAAAAAAAAAAAAAAAAAAAAAAAATTAGAAAAGTTTTGTCACTTTTTTCCACTAGAGCCTGGATTTAATCTATCAGAATTAACAGCAGCAGCATTTGCCTTTTGTTTTTGGAACCTTCGGGATATGCTTGGAGAAGTTTTTTTCCTGATATCCCGGAGGCTGGAAACATACCTTGTTCTGAACACAAGCTGAGACTCACACTCTGAAGAAGCAAAAATTTTAAAATAACACAAAAATCCAAAACTCTGCAGTGTTAATAACCCTAGATTTATAATACATATAAATAATACCAATATACAAAACCCCTTCCAGCATACAAATGCTCAGTTAAGAATAAAGTATAAACAAAAAGTATATGAACTAATAGTGCATAAAATTAAACACAAAACCCCCTCTTGGTATTGCTCCCAAATTTTAGAGATCTAAAATACAGAATTTTCCCTCTACTTAACTCCACTTCAGCTAACCACTGCTAAAATAGAAGATTTCAAGAACATAAATAATTGGAAGCTCAACTATTATTGTTGGAAGGCCTAAGAAATTAGTAACTCGATAAATAAATACTCCTATGGCAATTGGCCTGTGGAACCCCTAATCAACATTCAGGGGAAGCTTTTTAATTTCCTGCTCCTTGAGTAGCCTCAGAATGTGCATGTGCTCAGGCACTTGACAGAGCCCCTATGCCAGACACCGTGGAAGTTCGTTCATTCATCCAAATGACATAGAGGACATTACATTCATTTGGATAAACTAGAGTTTGGCTAGTTTAATACACTTGGTTCTGGCCAGATGACATGACCCCATTTTGGATAAGCCAAGTTTCTGGATAATCAGGGGTTTTATTAGCCTGTAATAAGGTTTTGACAATGACATCACAAGCTCCAATTAATTTGCTCAGGGAGTGCCCTATGGATGTTCTCATATGAAGCCTTTTCCCAGTTTCTGAATCTTGCACAGAGCAAGATTTTTATCATGCAAATGTGTATTCTCTTTTACAACACTCCTTTCAGTTCTCTTCTGGCAAAGATCTACAAAATGAAAATGTAGAGAGGACAGCACATTCCTGACCCTGTTTTCCTGTGAACACCCAGTGATACCAGGGAGGTACTGGTGGAACAGAAAAATAATGATCTTAAGCTCTGTTCCACTGTTCAAACTCATCACTCTTCTGTGTCTTGCCATTTGCCTGGGTGCCACTGAGCGTGCCACGTTCTGCTCCCACCTCAATTACTTTACCTCATCGGCTCTGCGGTGCAAACTACCACTTGCCTACATGGCAGACTTGACTGTATGCAGCGATAACCCAGGCAGCCACAAACAGCTCTGCTCATGTATCAGAACAAGCGAAGTCACAGCAGCAGAGAGATGAACACCTCCCACTCCATATCGCAGTGGCTATTACTGCTATCCTTGTCATCTTTTAAGAGCAATGTGGATTGGCTCTGTGCTACACTGAAACTTCCCGCACTGACACACTGTTAGATGACTAGTAAATCCATAGCAAGAAATCTTTCCTTCTGGATTTTGTACTGTGCCTTGTACAACGAGATCTTTGTTAATGATCAGTACTCTGAATTCTAAATAAATAACATGTAACTGCAGAGCCCTGCTGAATTAAAGAGCAACAGTATGAAGATAGGACATAGAAGGAGAAAAACTGCTTAGCATCACCTAAAGCTATTGTGAAGAAAAAGCTAAGCAAAAGGAGATTCTAGCTTTTCATTTTGCTGTGCTTGCATATTTAACAGCACAAACGGGATCTAACAGCTTATCCGCAGAAGCATCATCTTTCCCTTCACACCCTTAAAAGCCAACAATAAAAACCCTCAACCAGAACAAGTCCCACCAAATGCCAAACACAAACTGGGATTACTGGGAAACTTTCAACTCAGTTAAAGAGTCTTCCTCTCTCTACAAATCCCTCATGGGGCAAGACCAAAACACTTTGTGGGGAATAAACCTCTCCCGCCAGAGGTAAAATTACAGTTTGACCACAGCAGCTGTCAAGACATCATTATCAGATGGAAGACACTGCAGTAGGCAGCCCGCAGGTAGGCAGCAGAGCAAGGCAACAGCCTGGCGGCGCAAGGGCAGCCAAAGCACCTGTAGATGCACAAACCTGGGATTACCTTTGCAATATGCCTTTTGGGAGATGCTGCCATGATGGGGCCTCAGAGCTGACCATAAGCCTGGGCACCATTGTGGCACAACCATCACAGCCAGAACAAGCGAGAGCCAGATATTCTTTCATGGGGGAGATGCCAATCCTCCAGCAGCTTGGTGGTGCACAGACAACACAGTCACCTCCCCACCGCTAACACGCTCTTCACCCTGCCACTGTTTTTGTCAAAAATCCTCTTTCATCCTCCTTGCAAAGCTCATGCATTCAGGCTTTCTTCAGTCAAGGAAGTGTGTGGGGCCGAGAAGCATGGATTCCCTCTTCACAAAGACAAAAATCGCAAGTGCAAACGCTGATGTTTCCCAGCTTTTCATTGTGACAAGAGCATAGAACTACCCACTGACTGTAAGCAGAGCTTGCTACTTGGAGCCAAGTCTGGGCAGAGTAACAGTCCGCCTTCGCTTCCAGCCTCACCCCACTTTCAAATGGGGAAAAAAAAAACAACCCAACCACCAAGGAACAATTAACACGCTAACAGCCTCATTTTCACTAAAAGTTAAAAGATGTTCCTCTGCATCAAAAAAAACCCTCAGTTGAAAAGCATAGAAATAGCATCAAAAATATTGACTTTTCCCCTCTACTGAAATTCAGATTAAAAACTGCATCAAAACAGAAAAATCAGCCAGCTCTAACCAGCCGGAGGGAGAGACCGCTTTTACAATGCAGCACTTACTCCACAGATGAGAGGGGGACAAGAGGCATTAACAAAGAGAGCCAAGACTATGCACTTCTGTGTCAACTACAAAATACAAATTTATTTTTTCTTACCATCACAACTCAGATGAAAGACACAAATGTCACAGTATGTGTCTTAATGATGCCATCAGGCCTTAATGCCTCTATAAGCACACAGTCTTTCCAAAGTAGGGAATTTATCCCGGGACTCTATTCTGAGATCAAAAACACACAAGGAAAATATATCCTTACAAATTCTGCTTGATCTCCTCAGCCTGCAAGTGGAACCCATGTATCAGAGGATTCTACGTGCAGATGTACTTCAAAATCTCTCCGCAGAACAGTGCTATAAAATTACGTCGTCACAAACTCCCACTCAAAATACTGATGAAAATAGCAGCAGGCAGCAAGGAGCCCAGAAAGCATTCGAGCAGCAGAGCAAGTCGTCTTAGAGATGGCTGATCTCCTTTCACAAGAAGCTAATACCAGGCCAACACAATGCAAAGGGAGCAGGCTGCCATGAACTACTGCCTGAACCACAGTATAAATACTGCACAGGAATATTTAGCATCTGTTTGCAAATACTGTCCCCATTCCCATGGACAAAGGTCACTTCTCTCACTGACTCTGAGAGTTAATACTCTGGAATAGGTACAAGGGCTCCGGGTTGATTTTATGGAGCTCCCTACCTCAACGCCTGCAAGATCAAAACCTAGCCCTGGGATTTTAACACAAATATTCTGCAAAATCTTACACCTCTGAGCAGTAGGGGAAGAATAAAGGAATGAATTTGACAGGGATTTAAGCCCCAGAACCAGACAGCACAGAAAGCAGACCCAAAGAACAAAGCCTGACACTTCTTGAACTATTGGAGGAATCATGGCATAGTATAGAGACCCCACCAAGGTTTCTCTGAGCCATTCTGCCTAAGGAGGCAAAAAAATCTCTAACTTTCTAATAATCTAAAATATACCCCACTTCCCATACAGGGGTGGGAGAGTCAGAACACCTGATGTATAAACAAATATTCGAGGGACAGTACAGCCTCGACCCCTAGTTCTTCTAATCCCCCATCCCTCCCCTGGTACCCTCTTGAGAAAAATGGTTCCTTCCTGCTTATGAGAAACAATTGTTTTTTATATTCATCACAAAATATGATTATTCGTTTTCCATTATTGCTGGAGGCATTCAGAGGCTACATAGCTTTTTCAATACAGCATTCCACACTACCATAGCTTTAAAAGAAAAAATGTACCCATTGGAAGAGACACTTTTCTGCTTTCTGCTTTTGTCTTTTCTGGTAATTATGAATGACATGTTTGCAATTTCCCAGATTTGAGAAATACAAAATTATTTTACAGTCATCCTTCTTTTGTCCTTTTATTTTAATACTTAAATTTCCATTTTGGGGAGGAGGGGCGCTACCATAGCTCTGAATCAGTTCAATGTGTCTCAAATCACCATACTAGGGCTTTGCTTCACTAGTTTCCAAATCAAAACACTTAACTAAAGATCAGAAAATTTATATCCCCCCACATTATGAATAATGGCGTGCTGTGTACACTATACAGGTTTCAGTTCAGAATAAAAACAAAGTTAAGATCTGGGATGGAAAAACACAGCAATACAATTCTCTACATAGCCAAGATTTTATCACAGGGCAGTGTGCAACGGCAAGTGCACGGGTGACTGCAGCACTTACACACTGCCCCTCTGAAACGAGGGAGTACAAAATCCAGCCAGCTTGCTCTGTTGGAAAAGCGACATTTTACCCATTTGCATCCGCTTCACTTTTTAAAGCCCTTACAATAGACTCAGGACTCAGAGAAAGCAATTCCCACTCAAGAAGAGTCACAAATACATGAATGCTGGGGAAACTAAGGGAACTACATGTGCTAACCTTAACTCAAACGGACACTGTCAAATCAAACTCCACAACTGTAATTCTGGAAAGAAGCGATATAAAATGTCTTTCTTACAAGCCTAAAGAAAAGCACTGCAGCTAACTTAAGAGCTGTGAATAGCCCCACGTTCTTTTTAAGGAAGACAGCAATAAAATTATGAACAGTATTATATGAAAAGGAGGCTTTTTGTCTTTGTTATCACATTCACTAGCTCAGTCCACCCAGTCTCATGTATTCCTGCCTCCGTAACATAAAAGTTGTAGCTCTTGCACAATTTGACCAGACTCTCATGTTAATCTCCCTTGCAAACATAAACGGGGGGGGGGGGGGG